TAAAATTTTTTCAACATTTTGTTATTTTTGTTGGTTATTGTACATCATTACCATGCAGATTTAAAGACATGTTTAAATTTATTCACACAATGTACCTTTTAAGTGAAAAGGGTGCCGTGGTAAAAACAATGGTATCTTGATTGCCTTCACCTTGTCTGCGCGTAAATCTTAAAATAAAACAAGTCAATGCCAAAGAATAATTAAATATTATCCAACATATTATTTTGCTCCACAGAGTGAGGTTACTTACTATAAAAAGATTTATTACTTACACTTTGCATTAAAATAACTTTAAGGTTATATTAACGATTAATAAAACGTGATTGGTAGTATTGTTTTTATAATAAATAATGAATGAAACATGGAAAAATAAAATTAATTTCAACTTTTAGTGTTATGCTTTTCATTGAAAAAGCGTGGGTTTTATTTTTAAAACAAAATAAATAGAGCTTTACTGAAAAGAACAATAAAATAAGCATAAAATATATGAAATAAAAACCGTATTAAAATATATTCTACTTTTCCGCCATATCCCCATTTCTACATCAAATGCAGTACTTTAAAAAAAAATCTCGTCCATTGACAAATTTGTTTTAATTTTATTTTTTCTTCACTGTGTTAAAAATAAAAAAAATATTTTTTTTAAATAACTTTTTTATTTCAAAACGTATCGATTTGAAATTTGGACAAAATGTAGATCTTACTAATGAAAATTAATCCATGAAAAAATGTTGTTTAGATTTTAACGTACAGAGGACGCTGGTGATAATTTAGTTTAAAATTTAACAATTTTTAAGGATAAATAATCGAAGGAACAACTTTGTTTTATAAAATTGAGTATAACACGTTAAAGTATTGATATTTGACTTTTAAAATAATTATTTGATATATAAACTTTTTTATGCAAATGATGTTTCTGTGGCCAGGATCAGTTTTGTATTAGCAGTAGCACTATTCATAAATGTTTAGTTTATGATAAAATGTATACATTTTATCATTTTTATACAAATATTGTTGTATCTTTTATTAATAATTAAGTATAGCATAGCAAACAAATGACGTTTAATATACAGGGTGTTTCACGTACGTAGTCCGTTGGAAGTTTCTAGGGAATCGCGAAAGACATCGATTTAAAATTTTAATAGCGTAAATTATTCGCTTTAAACTTTTTTCCTAAATTATTTTGAACAAAATAATACTTCCTGTTTTACCGGAAATGTCTTTATAAAGACATAACTTTGTTATTTTAAACAGGACACCTCATATATTATTACATTTTTTAATTCTACATAAAGTCAATATTTTTTGAGTTAATTTTTCAATCAAATATTTTAATTAATTTTAAACAATGACAGATTTGGTGGTAACCATGGATACTGTCACATTAAACCACATGTAGAATTTCACATGTTTTTTGATACAAAATAGTATTGAAAATATTGATATACCTAATATTAATCTGGGATAACATAGATCTATTAAAAACATTTCATGAATATATTAACAACCTACACAAAAAAATAAATTTTACTATAGAAATAGAAAATAAAATTTTCATCAACTTTCTAGACCTTACAATTACAAGAACAGATAATACATTTCAGTTTAAAATTTATAGAAAACCGACTAAAACATCCGCCCTTATACCATACGACTCACACCACCTATACAAACACAAACTTGCAGCATTCCACAGTTTCATACACCGAGCTTTAAACATCCCAATGAACCAAAACAACAAAGAAAACTAACTTAACATCATCAAACAAATTGCATCAGAAAATAACTTTCCCTTATCTACTATCGAGAAAATAATTAAAAAACAAGAAAAAATACTTTTAAACAAATACCTCTTGAACCTCACTGATAAAACCAAAGAACATACTTATAAAAAATTTTCATATCAGCGCAACATCACAAAAAGGAAACCTTATCAACTGCCTCAAAAACGGAAAAGACAATACACATTATCTCGATAAAAACGGAGTATACTGCATAACATGCGAAGAATGCGATGCAAAATATATTGGGGAAACAGGAAAAAGTATAAAAACAAGAATTAAAGAAAACATAAAATATACCAAAACATCAAACTTTGGAAGACATCTACAATCAAGCGGACATAAATTTGAAGACTGAAAAAATATAAAAATATTACATCAAGAAGAAAAAGGAATAAAACTAACAAAAAAAAACTAACAAAAACAAAGACAAATGTAACCTACTAAACGAACAAGTAGAATTATATTTTGAACCTATTTTCAAACACCTGTAAGACCACAACCAACATCTCACACCTACCACAAAAAACATTTATTTATAAAGTGTAAAAATTAGTTAAAACTTCTATGTTCGTAATATATTATTCTATTTTAACTCATATTTTAAAACTTGACATTGTAAGTAGATACTAATTTTACATTTTTAACTATATTTATAATAATCGTAATTAACAAATACGATTTGTAGTTTGCCTGAAGATGGTGTATAACCGAAACTAATCGCAAATAAAGAATATAAACAAGCAAGGAAGTATACATTATTTTTAAAAATTAAAAATTGTTAAATGCCTCTGAAATTTTAACTATAGGAAACAGTTATTATAATACCAATCGAAAGATTCTTTAATGTTCTATTTGATTATGTTAAAACATAGAGGGTTTTACATTTATAATAAAAACGTTATTATTGTTTGAAGTTTGCCTAATTTCAAGTGGTTTTTCTCAAGGTATTTGTTGGAAAACATTTAAAAATTAAATTATTTATTTACAAATTGATTAAAAATCATTAATGTTTTTATAAAAATTGATTTTTCTAAAAAAGTGCCAAGCGAATTGAGTTTATCCTGAAAAAAAATTGTCTTGTAAGTGATTTTTTATCAAAATATAAAAAAAAATCGGATACGTCTGAACCTTTCAATTAAAAGTTATTCAGGGACACCGTGTGATTTCTCTTAAAAGATGTATCACAACGTACATCTTTCCAATTGAAAAATAAGGGATTTAAGTTACAGTGATAAAATGAATGAGTAAATATGTTCACCTTAAAAAGTATAGGTGTCCGAAGATTCTTTTTATTTTCACATACAAATGCGTAAACCTTGCTAGACTTACAAAGGGTTGTGCCTACCACCTGAAAACTCCTCTGTTTCGTTTTTGTTGAGCCACCCAGTATATAATATTGAATTCTACCTTCTAGCAATTTAAAAGTTGAAAACGACCTTAATGTGGAAATTTATGTGAAAAATGTGGGTTATACAAACATTATTTTTGGTAATACATCATGTTTGCAACGGCTGCTGCCGATTCCTGATAGTAAATAAATAAATACGCGCCGGTTCTGCGTTCTCATTTTGCCTTCACCTAATTCTCACCATTACTTACTTTTCGACTGATTTTGATTATGATTTTTTCGTTCGCAAAAGGGCTGAAATCTAAAAATAAAAAGAAAGGCCCGTACGATGTGAAACATCTTTGACATTACTAAATTTGAAGCCACCAGATTGCTTAAAGGATTTTTAGCTGAGCTTTATATGAGGTTCGTTTTTCGATAAAAAAAAATTAATCTTTTAGAGTGGGGCGACATGAAATGATATTGATTTTAAATCCTCGGAGTGCAGAGGAGGCTCATACAGATTAAATTAAGCCCCTGTAAATTATTTACTGAATATACAGAGTGTTTGTTAAAAGTCTTTGACATTTGTTTTTTATTTTTTTAAAAACATCATGGTTTTTGCAAAATTTGCATTTTAATAATTCACAGTTGGTCTAGCAAAAAAATTAGGTAAAAAATAATTAAAAATTCGGATGTTTTTTACATATATGTATATTAGGGTGGCCCAAAAAAAAAGAATATTTTTTTTACTTGTCTCTTGTAAAAATATGTTAGTTTATCATGCTGTAAGAGCCCTGTCAAAAAATCAGCTCGATTTAAAAAATTTTAGGGGTCGCTCAAGATTTTTTAAAATTTTGAAAATCGTCAAAAATTGAATTTTTGTTTTATTTTAATTTTTTTTCTCGTCTCGATATTATTTTTTTGGTTGAAAATAATAAAAATTCTGTAAATTTCAAATCAATATTTTGATTTCTAAAGGTCGCTAAAAGTTCGTTGATATTTATATTCAGAGGTCGCTCAAAAACATTCAAAATACTTTACTTTGAAAGTTTAAAAAATTTAGCGACCTTTAGAAATCAAAATATCGATTTGAAATTTTCAGAATCATTATTATTTTTAAATTAAAAAATAATATCGGAACGAGAAAAAAAATTAAAATAAAAAAAATCCAATTTTTGACGATTTTGGAAATTTTTAAAAATCTTGAGCGACCCCTAAAATTTTTTTAATGGAGCTGATCTTTTGATAGGGCTCTTAAAACATGACAAACCAACATATTTTCACAAGAGACAAAAGAAAAAAATATTCTTTTTTTTTTGGGCCACCCTTATGTATATCTATAGATCTTAACTATATGGTTTCGCGTAAAAATCGAACAAATTTTGGACATTTGTTTGCAAGTGATGCCATATATTCTTTTAACCTTGTTTCTACATCTAAATGGTACATTTTTTTACAAAAAAAAATTTCATCCATTGACCGCTGTGGTTTTCAGGCCTTAAGTCACTCTATTGTGTTAAAAATAGATAAATTTCGATATTTTGTAATAACATTTTTATTTAATAACGTATCGATTTAAAATTAAGATAAAATGTAGACCTTATTAGTGACAATAAATCCACGTATTATTTTTTTTAGGTTTTAACATACAGGGGGCGCTGGGGACAATTTAATTTAAAATTTACCTTTTTTTAAGGGTTAAAAAGTCGAAGAAGCAACGTTGTTTTATAATTTTGAGTATATCACATTAAAGTACTGATAAAAAACGACACCCAGGTCCCTGATTGTTTCAGTGATTTTCAGGTGATTTTTTAAGGGTAAACGTACATGATTTGCACTTGTGGAAGTTAAGTGATAGCTTATTTTAGTCGCACCGAAGGTAAAGGTTATCTTGTGTACTGGATATATTGTGAAAAAGTTTTATCAGCAAAAAGTAGGTGATGACAAGAGAGGGATAAAGATAAATCATTAATAAAAAGATTAAACAAAAGAGGGCCTAAATTAGATCCTTGAGGAACTCCAGATTTAGCCACAAAATAGTTTGAGTTGAATCCATTATAGTAAACGAATAATTTTCTATTTACAAACCCAGCGAGGGTTTTGCTATTGGATAGGTGTAAGTTTATAAATTTTTAGAAAAATATAGTCCAGTGCGGTTTGATTTCGATGACCCGAAAATCGTCGCACAGCGTTATGTGATCACCAAAAATACCAGCCCAAACATTTAATTTCTAAGGATGATGAGTATGTACCTTTTGGAAGGTAGGACCAATAACGATAATTATGACGTTTGACAATGCCATTGAAAAAAATTAACATTCGTCTGAGAAGCAAACATTAAAAAGGTGGGAGTATTTATAATTATTTCGGACATTATTTCACAAAATTGGAAACGGCGGTCATTATATTATTTCAAAAAAATAAATAAATATGGGAGAAGGCCGCCCCCGCTAAGGGGGTTATAAAATTAATGTGTAAATTAGTACTTCTGAAAATAAAAGTATACGGGCCTGAAGATTTTTTTAAATTTCACATACAAAGCCGTAAACCTCGCTGGACCGTTTTAGATGTGCCCTGTACAATATGATTTATTTTTTCAAAATACATTGAAACAAAGAAAACTTTTTTTATTACCTTTTTCAGCATTGAGGCGAACGCATAGGTGTAGTGAAGATGTTCATATAAAATTTCGATTTGAACTTTTTTGGATCAAGTCAAGTTCTTTGTCAATTGCCTGAGATTTCCTGAACGTTATTAGAGAATCCAGACTGATATATGGGCGTAATATAAGTTGCCACGTTTTACAATCGACTTTTACGCCAAACAGCTTTCTTTAAATTTCGTACACAAAATTAAGTTTAAAATCAATCGAAGCGCTCATGAAAATGTAAATACATGACTCACCGATCCATCGAAACTGCAATGAGGCTGTAGACAGATGCCGCCACCGAAACTCCTTGGATGTAGGGTACAGTTTTACACATCAGCCAGCCCAAAACCCATGCTAAAATTAAAAAAAGTTTTTTTAATCTCCTGTGATTATTTGATCTATACACTGTTATAAAAATCAGATTTGTTAATTTGTACCAATTATGGTAACGATAAACTATATAAAGGTTATATAAAAGTTGTCAAATTATATAAGAGTTTAACAAGGTTTTATAAAATCGCCATTTAGTTTACTAGTTTTATAATGGTATATAAAGTATATAATTAGGTTATATAATTGTTTCTACAAACATTTTATATAACCTTTAGTAACCGTTACCAGTAGGTTTATAAAGGAGTTTTATATAGTTTGCGGTTACCTGTTTTATAAAACTATTGTGTCTTTAATTTTTTTAAATAAAAATTGTGACTTATTAATTATAATTAATTATTAGGTGCTTTCAACAAAATATTTTTCATAATTTTAATTAAAAATTGGTTGAAAAAAAATAACATAAATATTTTAAAAGTGAATGTTTAGTGCAATAATTTGATTCCATTGCGTTAAAACCAAAATGGCGAACCTGACAACACTAACCTGAGCGGTTAGATGGTTGCCTATCAAAAGTTTTATAACATCACTTGTAGTAATAACAGTTACTACAATGTATATAAGAGTTTAAAAATTATATAATAACACTTTAAGTAACTTAGATGGTCCTATAAAACTGAACTAGTACCTTAGGTTATATAAAATTACCATGAGCAATATAAGGGGGCTCAAGGTTGATACATTATTTCCGCCATGATTTTTTTTATATAAAATAAATGTTAATCGAATTGTATTACAAAACAACTTATTTGACCAAACCAAGGTAAAAAATTTACTAGTTTAATGTAAGCAAAAGAAAGATATTAATGTATTTAAAAAAATTTCATATAACCTATGAAGAAATATATATTTTAAATGTACCTGAGGGAGAGAGAAATATTAAATGAAGGAAAAAAGCCGGTAGCAGTTCTTTAAGAAGTTATATAGTGGTTTCCATAATATTATTGTTATCTCTAGTTATAAAACTTATAGCGTTACTAAAATAGGTACCGATAACCTTCTTAAACTAACCAAATAAGCTCTTTAAGAGGTATATAAGAGTGATATAAATATTTCTGTAACCAAATTAAGACATTTAGGTTTTGTAATTTGCATTATATAACATTTATGGAAACCACTATAAAAATAAAAATGTTCATTGGGTAGGCATCAACAAGTTCACTTGACTTCAGCGTCAACTTATGTTTCTGCTTACTTTATTCAAATTCGTAAAGTAAGTAAGTGCTAAGCAAATGATCCCTAAATATTATGACAATAAAAACGCAATAAAATTATTGCTAACTAGATAGATCATTGAACTTTTTTTTATCACCCGTATAATTTCGCAAACGATTTACAACATAAAACGTTTTTATTGTACAAGTTCATAAAATTTAACACATAAAAAACTTAAGATAAATCAATGAAAAAGTGCTGCAGCAATCATAAAATTTATGTGGCGAGCAAAAAAATGCACTTTAAAAATATAGATAATGTTTACCAGACTGTGCAGTGACGTATTGTCATTGAACTGTGAGTATTAAATGGTGTAAACTTAGCAACGAGTTTCGTGCTGAAGTTAGCTTTAAGTTGTCACCTATCAATTGTAGTGCAATAAAGTGGCCATTTTGAAATAGTACGTTTATAAGGAGTGTCACTTTTTATAAGAAATGTCACTTTTTGTGGCGCCTGCGAATATTAAATTATTTATAAATAGGTTATAGTCAAAATTACAAAGAAACACTAATTTACTGCCATGGCAATGAAGTTTAATTTTAACATTATGCAAAATGTCACATAAATGTTATTTTACTGTCAGCCATAATATAACAAGTGGTATGATTATCATCGATGATATTTTCGAATTGAAACCGAGTTGCAGATTTCACGAGTCCGCAGGACGAGTGAAATGTGCTGCTTCGGTTTCCATTTGTAAATATCATCGATAATTAATCATACCACGTTATATTTAGTGAGAAAATATAATGAATTTTAGGATTTAACGAATTGTCAGTTTGACATTTGAAATTAAAATGTGCTTTAAAATATAAAAAGACTTTAATAAACCTTATTTATTCAAACTTACCTTAATTTCATTATCGTTTACACCAACCCATCGATCTTTTAGTTTATAATTCATTATTTTAATCATTTAACAAACACAGTATTTAAATATCAACAAAATTTAACATTTAATGTCAAATCAAGAAGTATTAAAATCCTTAGCAACGTGTAAACAAGGTGCTAAAAAATATTGTCGCTGTGATAAAATGCGTAACCATGGAATACTGGTATTTTATTAGTTCTAATTATAATGTTGTATTGTATTGTATTATGTATGTATTGTCATTCGAAAAAAATGTTTTTTTGTGTTCCTCGTAGAAAGAGAATAGTAAACTATATTATTAAACACTCCCTCTGAAAGCTTTTTTTTTTAACAATTTAATGGTATAGTTTTAAAACGTCAACTCCTGGGCGTAAATTTTTGGAGCTGAAAATTTAACACCCCGTTTACTATCAAATTATGCTGTTCGTATTATAAGGTATAGGCGCAATAAATTATTTTCTCGCAAAGCTTGCTCTGTAAAAAAGGCCGGCAAAACGACATTTGGCACAGACATGCTTGATAAAGTGAAAATAGTTTTTTTTTTCATCCCCGGATTGACAAAAAAATATTAGTGCGGCTTTCATTTTCTGCAATGCAAAATTAATTTTCATCAAATTACAGTGGCGGATCGTGGGTGTATAGGAGGGTTAATTTTGTCTAAATACGAATAAATTTCCACGTCACCCGGAAGGTATTATTCAGCGGCCATTGAAAAAAAATAAACTAAAAAAAATTGTCAAATCTTTGACACTTTAGTTTTTAATGCAAAGCAAACTTGTGTGAATATCGTGAACATACACTCAGAAAAATGTACATGCACTGATAATGAAACTAATTTTGTAAGCGATTAATAAAATAATATTATTTAACTTAAATTTAAAATTGTACCACCTAAGGTACCTCTTTGATTAAATTTTCAGTGTCTAATTGGGACAAAAACCTACGATTTGTCAAAGTAATGAGATTATTTTTATTTACAGAATAAACTTTTAAGAAATTCTCATTTACTATAATGAAGCAGCAATGTTGAGTTTTTGTAAAAAAAATTTCATCCAACAAAGTAAAAGTTGTTATCATATTGTCATGGCAATAAGAAACACTTTATGTTTATATTAAATCTTTCTCGAACATAAAATGTTTTGTTAAATCTATAGTTGTGTGTGAATTGCGCTTACATAAAGTATTGTTATAGTAAAATTTGTTCATTTTACCATGGGATATTTGTCTTTTTTAAATTACTATAGTTGTAATTCAAATTAATTTTATTACGAGCGAGCTTGCGAACGAGTGGTTAAATTAATGAATATATAGAAAAGTTTATAAACGAGGTGCATAATATACTTTTTCTACGACAAATACTTATTATTATCTTAAAATGATTTAAATCAAAAATTTGTATAGAGCGCCATCTATGAAACAATAGGGGAATCTGTGTGTCACCGTCAAATGTCACATTTTTATTTAAAAGGTCACTTAGTGTCATGGAAAGATGTACGATAAAGGGCGTTTTAAAGGTGGGAGTAGAAAAATAATTTTTATAATCTTTTTGCCGTATTCAGACAAACTATTTTTTTTTGTAATATTTATTAAAAAAAAATCTGACATTTGTAATAAAAGTAAAGTTTATTTTTAATTAAAAAAATATTTTTTTGTCAATGTCATCTGTCATCAACAGAACATCGGAGAACGATGTGTGAAACAAAATTTCCACAATTAAGAAAATTGATAAGTATGTACATTGTACAGGCTTGAAGTGGCTCGCCGTTAAAGCATCACTTAACCTCCAACTTTTTTCTTACATTTTTATTAAAAGCACCCTTATCTTGATGAATGTGATTTACGACATGCCACTTTTAATATCCAGGATAGTCAACTTTATCTTCCTAAATATGAAACTTTTTCTTTATTTAAAGGATTGTAATAAATTTAATGAAACGGTTTTTCTTCATTTTTCATTTGAAAAAAAAACCATTTTATAAAAATTTTCTTTATTCTCAAAATTTGTACAACCTATATAATATCTTTTATAATAAAAAAGCTGGGAGCATACAAGCAGAAAAAAACAATTTTATAATGAAAAATTGACAAACCTTATTAGATCAAATATTCATTTTAATATTAGCTTCCCTTGCTACCATTTAATCCATTCATCCCATTTAATATGGAATTGACTATATTTCAAAAACTGCTCCACTTTCATAATTTTTGACGGTATTTTCGGATTCAGGGGTCAATTTTACATAAGAATTGGCTAATAATATGGAATTGACTATATTTCAAAAACTGCTCCACTTTCATAATTTTTGACGGTATTTTCGGATTCAGGGGAGAATTTTACATAAGAATTGGCTAATTCATTTATAGAGAGCATGTTATTTAAATGGGAAATGTATAGCCTTTGTGGCAAGGTTTAATATGAATATTATAATTATAAGGGCTTATATGAGTCTGATAATTTTTTTAAGTCATAAACTAAAAATTTAGGGGGCGCTGCGAAAAAAAAAACAAGTTGGTAACTAACGGACACCCTGGTATACATGTATACGGGTCGTTTTCAAAAAACACCCGCCTTCCGCTGTCCGTAAGTTTGTTAAAAATTATCGGATCTTATTGATTTAAAAACCAAGTGAAAGCCTAACAACTTAGTAAACCCTTTCAAAAAATTTTTGTTTAGTTATTTTAGAATATTTTTTTTTAATTTTAAAACACACATTTTCGCATGTCCCATTAGCGTTTTATAAAACTTACATGCATGTTTTTTTTTTAATATTGAATAACCTGAACTTTGTGTTGCTTTATAGCAATCCATAACATCCTTAGTTAATACAGTAAACAATTTATATATAAAATAATTAATTTTAATCTACTTTTTTTAAATTTGACTCAT